TGCAGCTCATGCCATCAGAGCGGCAAGCATCTCATGCCATCCGAGCGGCATGCAGCTCATGCCATCAGAGCGGCATGCAGCTAATAGAAAGGTAAATACAACAGTAAGTAGGAGGGTAACTTCAATAGTAAGTAGGAAGGTTAATACAGTAGTAAATAGGAAGGAAAATACAATAATAATAAAGGAGGGCAATTACAATAGTAAGTATAGGAGTGTAAATACAATAGTAAGTAGGATCGTAAATACAATTTTAGGTTGAAGGGCATCTACAATAGGAAGTATAGGAGTGTATAAATAATAGTAAGTAGGAAGGGTAAATACAATAGTAGGTAGGAGTGTAAATAAATGGTAGATAGGAGGGTCAATACAATAGTTGTAGGATTAAATTAAAGCACGAGCAACAACTTACGGCTCCAAAGGACGTCGCGGCTTCACGAGACGTCGCAGCCATTCAAGAAGTCGCGACCACAAGCCAGGCTCCGCCATCTCCCGGACGTCGGCAGGCGCTCCTGGTGGGCGCTGGTTGCGATCAACGCTCCTGCGACACAACGCGGACGACAACTTCAAGCAACGCCACCAGAACACGATAATAATAATCAGTGCACATCATCATCGCCGGTTCAGTCTTATCAACAACAGCCCAATATTCTCAAAAGGAATTTCACCAGGAAGTGTAGTGGCCATGTGCCGAATTCATCCAGATCATTTCAACAGATCATTTCCAGATCAACAGATCATTTCCAGATCATTTCAACGTATCATTGAATTCAACATTCATCAGACCAACAGGTGGTGATTCATTCATCAGGTGGTGATAGTAGCGGGCAAAATAAGCGAGGCTAGCCTACGGGACGCACCGGTATCTGTGATATGCTCAGTTGAGAACAGACACCGCATGTTATCCAACCCAGTTAAAATTTTGAGCCGAGACCGGCGCCGGGTTTAGCCGGGCTGGTCGCGCTTTAGCAGGATGGAGCCGTGAAACTATAACCGGCCATCTATCCCTAAAACGGCGCTGCGCCATGGCTGATATAGAGACAAAATTCCAGCAGCTCGGCAGGGACGGAACTCTGCGCTGTTTTAGCGCTGGTACTTGGGATTGCCCGGCAGGGCAGGGAATAGAGCAGGCCGTCGCCGGCTGCAGAGCCGACGTAGAGACGCGACAGAGCAGCGATAGAGCAGAAATGTCCGCTTTAGAGACGATATCGCCTGCCGCGTATCAGCGCTAATTAGCTTCTGAGTACCTGCCCAGGTGTGCTCTGTCCTGCTGTCACGCAGCCCTTACTGAGCACCGCCTGCTCAAACCTGCCCAACGCATGCTCTGGGGCGGCTCTGGCAGTGTACGCGGCAGTTACGCCTCACCGTTTGTCAACAACGATTTAAAAAAAATTTTTCCTTCTCTCTCTGAGCTCACCTAGACTTCTCTCTTGCAATGACAGGTTGTATTGACATTGGTTACTGACATTCTCATCGTATTGACTTTAGCAACGTAATTTAGATTCTAACAAATTCAATTATCGAGGAAATATACACATCAAATTACTCACCGCTATGAACTATCTGCAAACGTCGACTGAAGCTCCGGGATTCGAACGCAGATTCTCCGCGTCGTACTCCACGCCTGTACCAGTTGACCGCGCGGACACCTTACCAGCCTAGGCTCTATGAAGTACTTAACTATAATACAGAACAAATGACTCGCCATCATCTAGCAAATCGAGGAATAGCTATATTTGTGGTTGAACTTGATAGATATTTTTCATAATGCCCTAATTTTAAAAAATCAACAAAGTAGCCATTCGAATGATCCCGTCAGTTAGATGTAAGTGAGTATTAGAGCTAAATTTGTTTAGTAATTTATCTTATTGCATTAGCTTCATATCATTCGATAGTTTGATAGGAAAATTAACAACATACGCAAATCATTAGTCTACTGAAATCGCAAGTTCTCCAAGAGTTTTAATGCAAAGAAAGCGCAGTTTTAGGGATAGATGGCCGGTTATAGTTTCACGGCTCCATCCTGCTAAAGCGCGACCAGCTCGGCTAAACCCGGCGCCGGTCTCGGCTCGAAATTTTAACTATGATCTTTGGATGTGACTGCCAGAATGCGGTTGAGGGACTCAGCGCTGACTATGAGGCGATAGACGATGTAATTGGCAGCGAACATTTCCTGGACGGACTTGTGGAGAAACTCAAAGTGCTTACACCGTCGCCCGGACAGTGGCTTGTGCACTTTCAGGATCGCTGATAAAATTATTTCGGGGTCGAACTTCTCGACCCACTAGCATTTAAGGTGACTTAACTCGACTTCGGCATGAGACTGAGGCGGTATTTTAGCAAAGCAAACTGAGTGCTTCATCGCCGATATACCCAGTTAAAATTTTGAGCCGAGAACCTTCAAACCATGTTGCATGTCAGCCAATCACAAGCTCGCTTACATCTTTTGTTTACATTATGAGTCACATGACGCCTCATGACGCCATGCTTCTGTGTTCAGTTATTTAAAAATTTTGTCTCTTTTTAAAGAATTCTAGACTCTTTTAATCTAATATTTTGATGACAAATGCCGTTTTAAGATAGCAAACTTTTATTTAGTGATTAATATGACATAATGAACAACGAGAATAGAATTTTTGTAAGTTTATTTTTTAGCTTCACCCGTCAGATTCGTTTTCTGTTGACATATACTAAGAAAAAATTCATTTGATGCATGACTAATAAAATTTTCTTAATATCGAATAAGGATATTTTTCTAAATCAAAATTAGAAGATAAACCTTAAAATGATACTAAAGTCTAGACACTAGTATGATACACTAGTCCAGACACTATTAGAGACTAGATACTAGTAATTAAATGATTACCAATCGCTTCATTCACACAAAAGTTGCTCGTCACTCCACTTACGCGACCTTTCAATCGGCGCAAAGTTACGTGCTCGTAACGTACTGCAAAATGTTTTGAAGGTACCATTATTTGAAGTTACAAACACTTAGCGGACTTACGCTGCACTTAAGCCGCTACGAGCACTTAGCAATGTTTTGAAAGTACCTGCCCAGGAGTGGATGTCGCAGTTTAAGTTAAGGTTCGAACACCAACTTACGCACGCACGTGTTCGATTGAGGAATCGATTATATATATATAGCAGCCGAAACATGGTCGTAAGTAGCAGGCGGTCCCTCGTTTGTAAACAACCGTGAAAGCCTCGCGCAAATTATCGCCGATGGTCGCTAAGCGGCCCGTCCATCGCCTCCCGCCGACGAGCGCTATATCGCCGAGATTTGGGAGAAGCGGCCAATCTGCCGTTCCGCGCTCATAATCTCCCTCCACGCCGATAAACAACCGCGCCACGGCTTTGAATTTTAACTGGGTTGATGCAGAGCTGCCAAGCTTTCGAGATGCCTTGCGTCTGCCGACTACGTCGACGTGGCTTTAGAGTTTAGATGAATGGGGCAATTTGAGAATATTGTCAATATTACATAACACGCTTAATCGATCCATACAATTTATACTTAATGATACAATAATTAGGCTGAATTGATCGCAATATTTACAACACAGCCAGTTGGCGCATACGCAAAATTCACAATAAATTTACTCAATATTTCATGTGAACATGAAAAATTTGATTCGCTGTCATCTTTTGAGAAACTTTATTTTTGCGACAAAAATTTTCCATTGTTCCACGGACAATTATATCAGGAGCAGTCTGCTACATGCCCAGTGGCTTCACTTTGGTTTGGAAAATTTGTGAACACGGTGCTTCTATCTGTCTGTTTTACTCCTACCTACAGAATTCACGCTAAATTTTGGCAAAATTTTCTTTATAGAACTTAATCTTAAAAGCTAAGCACACAGAACGTTTCGTCTCAGAACGCCGAACGAACGTAAAAACGCCAAGCACAGGTCATGGTTTCGTCTTAATCTCGAATGACCTGCAACCCAACAACACCTTTCTAAGTTGAATAAATTACTGTGGCAAATACCTTCGTGCACTGTGCAGTTTGGGCAAAATGGTTATCGGTGGCTCACAAGAAATTTTTCTGCAATGTGCCATATATGTTTCTGACCCTATAATTCATCGATGACTCCCACCTATACTCGCCACTCTTTCGATTTATTGATGTTTTATTGTCAATTTTCGGTAGATCTGGCCACCCACCGTTACGCCACCTATTGGATAGTAGTAGTATTGGATCTGAATGCGATAGTAAGAAAATTATTTATTGCACATTGCCCTATTTCGGTAGTGCGTATGAAACTATGTCCAGAGAACTAAAGATGTTGTGTATGAAATATTTCCCGAATATAAATTTGCATGTTTTGCTGGTAAATAATTTCAAAATAATTGGTTCTTTCTTCAGATATAAGGACGATAATCCTGCTCGGATGCGATCAAACCTGGTCTAAGAGTTCAGTTGTGCACGCTGTGCATCTGTGTACGTTGGAATGACGTCGCGTAACTTCTACATCCGGGTTTCTGAACACCGTGGCAGGAGCTATCGTTTTAACTTACCTCTCACCAAGCATCCTTATTCTTCCGTGCGCCTCCATGCTGAACAGTGCCACGTGGCTGTATCTGAGAGTGATTTCAGGATACTCGGTTCCACTACTGGCTGCTCGGATTTGAGAATTTTGGAGTCTCTACATATCTTCAAACGAAAACCGTGTCTCAATAATGCGTTTAGTTCATATAAGCTGGAAATTGTGAATCGCTGGGCTTTTTATAATCTTGTCGTACCCCTAGGACTAAGTTGTTCCAATCTAGTCCTGCTTATTTCGATATAATATTAGGTCTTGTTTAGGTTTTATGTCTGTCTTTGAATTTTGACTTATAAAATGATTTTATTCATTTTTAATTTAGTCAAACTGATGATAGAGCTGGACTCCGAAACGTTTTCAATATCGATATGGTGAATTTTCTTGGCGTTTTCTTTGCTTTTAAATTCCTTGTGAACTTGCGATATAAGCAGACTGATAGTATAAGCCATCTATAATCTACTATCGCCACCTATAGTCATCGGTGCGCCACCCTTAATTTTTATTTGGGTAGCCGGGTCGAGTATAATGAACCTGTGCCCTCATTACTGGCTTACAGCTTGGTCGTTTTTCTGAACTACAACCATAATTATAGCTCTAACTTCAGCAGAAGGTAAGAGGCAGTCTCTATGTTCGAGGCTACCATGACAATCTAAAGTCAATTAACCGTTATTACCTTACATGTAATGTGTATTGTTACGAACAATACGTATTGTTCGTTCAAGCCCGCATGAAATGTGACGATGTAAGTCTTATTAACTATTTATCCTTGCATATATTCAATGTAGAACATAAATTAAGCCTGCTAACAATACTTTCATCCTTCGGAATGCACATTATTCTCAATTATGCCGTTAATCAAATTTAGAATCGTTAATCGTCCGTAGAATTTCTGATTTTTATTCGCAAACTCGATAATTTGTAAGATCAAGTCGGGAGTTCATACTCATTCGCACGACTTGTCGCTCTAGGCTACCCCGAGTTGATTTTTGACATGACCTCCAATGCAGTATATGCCATCAGAGCGACTTGCAATACATGTCATGAAGGCGGCTCGCAGCTCATGCCATCGCAGCGGCTTGCAGCTCATGCCATCAGAGCGGCTTGCAGCTCATGCCATCAGAGCGGCTCGCAGCTCATGCCATCGGAGCAGCGTGCAGCTCATGCCATCAGAGCGGCATGCAGCTCATGCCAGCGGAGCAGCGTGCAGCTCATGCCAGCTTAGCGGCGTGCAGCTCATGCCATCGGAGCGGCGAGCAGCTCATGCCAGCGGAGCGGCGTGCAGCTCATGCCATCAGAGCGGCGTGCAGCTCATGCCATCGGAGCGGCGTGCAGCTAATGGCAAAGTAAATACAACAGTAAGTAGGAGGGCAAATACAATATTAAAGTAGGATGGTAAATAAAGTAGTAAGTATGAGGGCAATTACAATATTATGTAAGAGGGTGATTACAATAGTAAGCAGGAGGGTGAATACAATATTAAGTAGGAGGGTGAGTACAATATTATGAAGGAGGGTAAATACAATAGTAAGTAAGAGGATAAATACAATAACAATTAGGTGAGTAAATACAATATTAAAGTAGGATGGCAAATACAATAGTAAGTAAGAGGATAAATACAATAACAAGTAGGAGAGTAAATACAATATTAAAGTAGGATGGCAAATACAATAGAAAGTAGGAGGATAAATACAATAACAAGTAGGAGGGTAAATACAATAGTAAGTAGGAGGTGTAGGAGCAGCAATGGGGGGGAGTGAATAGTGTGCGGGGGGGATGGGGGAGGCTGAGGGAAGGAGGGAGAAGAGCACATTATACGAAGCGGAATAATTGATAACATAATTCGAAACTCGGCAATACGGAGACGACATTAATTAAATATAAAACGAGTAAATCAATGCGAGTTTGACATGTTCATCCAAGAGCCTCAGCGGATGTCATCAACTCGATGCTTTAGGCCTCAGACTCCGCGGTTATTGAAATATTTTTCAATGCATATGCCATGTGCTGCTCACTGCTCATGGCTGAGAGCTTTGTGCTGCTCACTGCTCATGGCTGAGAGCTTTGTGCTGCTCACTGTTCATGGCTGAAAACTTTGTGCTGCTCACTGCTCATGGCTGAGAGCTTTGTGCTGCTCACTGCTCATGGCTGAGAGCTTTGTGCTGCTTGCTGCCCATGACTAAGAGCTTTGTGCTGCTTGCTGCTCATGGTTGAGAGCTTTGTGCTGCTCACTGCTCATGGCTGAGAGCTTTGTGCTGCTTGCTGCTCATGGTCGAGAGCTCTGTGCTGCTCACTGCTCATGGCTGAGAGCTTTGTGCTGCTTGCTGCTCATGGTCTGAGAGCTTTGTGCTGCTTGCTGCTCATGGTCGAGAGCTCTGTGCTGCTCACTGCTCATGGCTGAGAGCTTTGTGCTGCTTGCTGCTCATGGTTGAGAGCTCTGTGCTGCTCACTGCTCATGGCTGAGAGCTTTGTTCAGCAGACTGCTCCTCAATGGGAACAATAACCCGCTCTGCAGCTCCCTGCTCTTGGCTGGGAGCTCTAAGCTACTCTGTTCAATGCGCGTGGGAAAGCAGGTTATGTGTCGCATATACTCACCTTCTCATACCCTCCTTAGTTACTCCCAGGATGCTGTAAAGGGGGTCGTCGCTCCCTCCAACGATGCGCTGAACGATGTAATGACCAGCAAACATTTCTTGCTCGCTCTTGTGCTTGAATTGATAGCTTGAACTCCTGTTCAAACCTAAAGGTTTGTGCTCCTTCAGCACCACTGAGAGTACAACTTCAGGATCGAACTTGTCATCACCCTTCAGTTTAACTTGACACCTCCTCTTTATGGCACCGAACTCTGTCTCTGAGAAAGTCACGACGTTGTCACGGAGCAACTCCAGCGCTTCAGCCCCGACCAGAGCAAACATGTCGTCCACCAGGACGTCCAAGTCCTCATCAATCCAGTCCACTAGTTTGGCACTGATGAGCTTCCTGTACAGACGCAACTTAGAAGGCGCTACGTCTCCGGGCGACCGCCACGTGGATATCTCCTCAGGGAGATGCTTATGCATCTCACAAAAATGGACCAAGTTGATGGGTTCCAAGAATTGACTTCTGACATCTTCACTGAGAGATTCGAAGCTCCTCGTCATCTCCCCAGTCGGAGTGTCGCCGCTCAGGGCCGCTTCATACCGCCGCAAGAATACAAGTTGGTCAGCAAGCTTCTTGAGCGGTAGGATCTCGTATTGAGTGGAACTGACATCGCATCTCCTGAGGAGCGGTGCCAGCTTCTTCTCCACGACATGAGGACGAGTCGTGATCAACACACGACAGTTGCGGCGCCACGTTTTCTTGAGAATCTCGTTGACGACTTTCAAGGAATTTTTGTTGACTTCGTCGAAGCCATCGATGATGAATAAGACGCGAAGGCGTAAAATTGCATCGAGGACGTGCACTTGATGTCCTAGTTCGTTGCACAGATCATTAAAATGATCCTTAATGATGTCACTCAGTTTTTCAGTGGTGCGATCCCTGCACTCGAAGAAGATGAATTGGTCAAATGAACTCAAGTAATCGTCAACCCCTTGCGGCGGGTTGATAAATTGCAGTACAATATTTTTTACGAGGGTTGTTTTGCCGGCACCGGCGACTCCCGTCACCACTAGGATCTCCTCGAAAGTCTCAAAAATTTTGATGTAAGGAAGAACTTTTTCTTCATCGCATGGACCTGTCTTGATCTGTGGTGCGTGGAACACGTCCAGGCGCTTAACCTTTATGGGGTTGCTGTTAAGCAGAAGCTCCTCACTGGATAGTCTTTCCTCCCAGAGATGTCTTACGGCTTCTTTGCCACTCATCAACAGCCTCGAGCACCAGTAGTATATACTCTCCTTGTTCAGAGCTACTAAATTCATGCTTTCATTCTCCAGCTCCCATTTCTTAGCATCGATCTCTACCGGGGGAAGAGAATAGAATCGCCCGGCCTCATCAATGAGGTCAACCAACGCAGCTTTCAGATCACTGAAATTCGAGTCATTGTGAACGGCCTGCAGGTTGTGGAACGCTGTGTTTCGCCAGTCTTTGACGTCCGTCAACTTCTTGAGCAGTTCAGCATGATCCTTTCGGCCCACTTTAGAAACTTTTGTGTACAAATTCTTGAGCAGACAATGTATGGCAGTGACGTCTTGCTCGTCGGAATTTTTTACCGTTTCGAATGTTTTTGCATTAAAGCTAAATGCTTGCTTCCATTCTTTGTTAGTAAAATGTTCTTGTCCTGCTTCTGTCCTCAGACGATCCATGTACTGCCTGTAGGTCTCATCGTCCCGCTTGTCCTGGCATTCCTTGCTGAGGACGAACCGCATGATCTTTGGGCTCAGGTGCAGGTTGCCCACCACGCTGCGGTAAATGGTTTCCATTGAGCCAGGGAGTCCACCAGCTGGTGCAGGGGGCGTACAGCTGGCACTCGATCCTGCGCTGGCCATCTCGCAGGATCTGATCGGGAGAAAATGCGATGCTTAAATAAATGCGCAGTGTGATAAATCGGAAGTAACATCTTGAATTCCACCTCCCGCCTTGTATAATAGAGGCGGATAATTCTAAATGTCTATTTAATTTAACACACTGCTGCTGCTTAGAAGTATATGCTCAGCAGAAATACTTATATCAATATTTTCACATAGCCTTACCAATCGCTTGATATATTTTCTCTAAAATACCTAACAAGGCACGGATAGTTCACTGCATGGAAGCGTCAGACGCGTTGTCTTGGTCGGCTTTCGTTGCGACAAATCTTGCTCTGATGAGCCTGTCTCTGAGCTAATCAATCTGTATTGGGATTTTAAACCGATCTTCGAAATTATTTCAAGATTTAGAATAAACTATCTCATTTCTCCAATTATCATGGGCTGAAGCTCATGTTCAGCCATATACAGCTCGTAGCAAACAAAAATATCCCTTCCACGACTGCATAAAAAGAAGCAACTCACCGTTGTCTATCTTCAGTCTACAAGAAATACCTTCCCAATCAAAATTTTGAGTTGGTGGTGGTAATGGTGGTTTTGAGTTGGTCTCAATGTCCGTTCGGCTTAGGGTTCCAAGGGCAGCCTCTGGTCAGCTTGCTAGCTCGGTATGACTCGGCTCGGCCAACTCTTCTCATACTCTGAGGCGACTATAAAGTCGTAAAAGAGATTCTGACCAGAAACTGATTCCGATCGGATGGCCAAGCAGACCCAGAATGACTCAGCGCCGAGTGCAACAACTATTTGGCCGAATCCTAGGCTGTCCCCGAATTTTGTTAGGGTTTAAGCCAGTCTGAGTGCATGTTTCTCAAGTGTCGATGCCTTAGTTCCTAAGTTAAATGTATTTTAAATTTTTTGCACTCTTACTTTCGTGTCTGCTTCACCGTTACTCGTTCAATAACTACCGCAAGTGAGTAACAACGCTAGAACATTTCTCGTTTTGTCAACCATTGATATCCTTGGAGCTCCTAGCTTCATGAGAGGCAATGTGCGGTGCTGGGTAACTATCACCTTACCCTCAGCTACCCGCAACCTCACGGAAATTAGAGTCGCTACAAATCGATCACATCTTCCTATTGGAACGATCTCTACCAAAATTTAGAGCCGAGGACGGCTCTGAATTAGCGAACGCCTAGGACTCAGGGAGCATAGTAAATAAGCTTCTTTCTTTCCGCTTTTTGGTCTACATTCCAATCCCAAGTCAGACAGCTACGAGGACCTGGACCTTACTCTGGTGGCCGTTGAGCGGTGCGTATTAGGGTCGTCAGCGTATCCGGAGCAGCTCTGGCCGAGTCTGACGACGTGTTTAAAAAACCGCCTTCATTCCTCTGCTGTGAGAGGAAGGAAGGGGCAATTGAATTTTTAAGTTGATTTACTATCAATGCCTGTTTCTGTAACTCGCTAAATACAAAGAGCATACTAAGAAATTCTGAATCGTGGGTAATAATGTTCGTGAAAAAATTATTTTTTCTTCTCATCCGAAGAAATAAGGCAAAAATTTATCGATAATCAACTAATGGTAACAATATCAGCGTTGTGTAACCAAAAAATATCAGTGTTGTGTATTCTCTGCTGCCGCATTGATATTTATCAAAGCATTGGAAAATGGATGAAAAATTAAAATATGGTGCTTTTGATTGTTGGTTGTATTGAATTAACTGATAACGGCATTCACTCTGTGTCCTTATTGGTGTCCTTAGCATACAATTGTCTACATACCCAGCATAGCAGTTTGGGAACCACTATCTAAAAAATTGCTTATTGAAAAGCTAAGGAAAACTCGCGAATATCTACAGTTTCCCCGATTAATGGGAAAACCTGCAAAACTTTCACATCCATGAGAAAATAGGGTTGAAGATGTGTATAGCTCATTAATATCAGTAAAGTATTTTATTTTAAATGTTTATTTTGTAAACTATATTATTTACTTAATAAACTGAATAATTATCTTCAGCATAGTCAAGAAAGGAAAATTTTATTTATTGTCCATAGCCGTTATCAGATAGTTTTAAAAATTGTGTGGGGTACCAGCGTCACAGCGTGCTACGAGAGGCTCAGGCTCCACATCGTCTAGATCCACGTTCGAGACTTCGGAGTAGCGCGTCGTTCTTCCACAGGACTGCAGGTGAGCTAAGTGTAATTTAATCTCATATTAACTCTTTACTGCTTACCCATGTCGATTACACTGCTATACTGGATATATAGGCAAATACATATTCTCCATGGCTGTAAATGATTACCAATAATAGAGCTTACCAATATAATATCCAAGTACCAATAAATGCTTAAGAATACAATAAGAGTGGTAAGCCGTTATCAGGTATATCGGTATTCAATACAATCGAAAATTTATAGCATCATGGTTAAATTTTTCGTCCATTTACAAATGCTTTGGTAAATTTCGATGTGGCAGCGTTTCTCATAGCAGAGAACACACAACACTAATATTGTTTGATTTCACAAAGGTGACATTGTTACCAATAGTTGAATATCGATAACTTTTTGCATTATTTCTTCGGATGTTAAGGGAAAATGCTTTTCCACGAACATTATTACCAAAGATTCTGAGTTTCCTTTATATGTATGCTCTTTGTATTCAGCGAGTTACAGAAACTGGTATTGATAGTAAATCACGTATAAATTCAATTGCCCCTCCCTTAATCTCATTGCAGAGGAAGGGAGGGGGGCGATTTTTTTAAATCCCGTAGTCAGAATCGGCCAGAGCTTCCCCGGATACGGGGATGACCCTGATACGTACAGCTCAACGGCCACCATAATAAGGACCAAGCTCTCGTAGCTGTCTGTTTCGGGGACCGGAATGCAGACCAAAAAGCGGACATAGAGAAGCTGATGGACTATGCATCCCGAGTCCTAGGCGTTCCCTTATACAGAGCCGCCCTCGGCTCTAAATTTTGTTAGGGAAGGCATGCGCGTTGTATCCACGATACGAGACAGGCAATTACATGAGGCATGCGTGTTGTATCTACGATACGAGACTGGAACTTACGTGAGGCATGCGTGTTGTATCCACGATACGAGACAGGAACTTACGTCAGGCGTGCGTGTTGTATCTACGATACGAGACTGGAACTTATGTGAGGCATGCGTGTTGTATCCACGATACGAGACAGGAACTTACGTCAGGCGTGCATGTTGTATCTACGATACGAGACTGGAACTTACGTGAGCCATGCATGTTGTATCCACGATACGAGACTGGAACAAGCGTGAGGCATGCGTGTTGTAACCACGATACGAGGCTGGAACTGACGTGAGGCGTGCGTGTTGCATACACGAAACGAGACTGTAATAGTATAGTTTTCGAAAATAGTATAGTTTTAAGGTTCTCGTTAAAAGTTACATTTAAGCTTTCATAAGAGTCCGTTAATAACCTAAGCCAAAACTAGACTTAAAACTATAATTTTCGTTAAATAATGCATTTCAGTACTACGTTACATTCAAACTACATAATTGCCTGGCACCACCTTAGCGATTTTGAGGTATAAGAGGCTTGCGGTTTCTGGATTCCCTTTGAATGGAACCAAACTTCAAGCCAATCGACTAACTATCCGCAGTCTTCTCTAGCACCTCATCCCGTGACCAGTTCCTCCTGCGGCCGTCGATTTATTATCAGTATCCCAGGACGCTATGACCGGAGTCACGGTACTGCTTCGTCGTCGCACGTGATGGGAGTCATGAGGTGCTAAGATCTCCACGTCCGCATGTTCTCCTGAGTCCCAGTTGGACCACTTACATGCTTCAGCCGACTGCACCAGCTTCAGTCTTTTTATGAAACGTAAGTCCTCGGTACCACTTAGTCGTGCGGGTGTGTGCCAGACAGTTTCAGAGACTGACATAGCTAACTCTGCCCTCTGATCTCAAACTAGAATAAAGGTGTTGCCCATATTTAAGATATATATAATTATATAATAGATTATTATACCAAAATGGATATCTAAATTTAATTGATAATAAAAGAAATTAAATATATTGCATGCTGGCATGCTATATCTTTGTTAATTGATAAATGGGCTGTGCCCTTCATATTACCAAGTGATAATTGACATAAGAACTACGGTATATAAGTACAAAATTGATGAATTGATAAGTTGATAGATATATTTAATATATATGGAGGAATTAAACGGATGATAAATTTTTTAATATAATAGATCAATATACAAATACTGTTACCATTGATGATATTTAGGATTTTAAATTCATTTGTATATTTTTTGTGGCAGCACTGAACGAAACTGCTGGGGCAAATAGCTGCAGATCTGCATGGCACGTCACGCTTTGGTGGGGAACTTCCCTGACTATTACCCGTTCTCGCAGCCCGGCCAATCTTCATATGCCTATGCAATAATATACATACGTTGCAATTAACTTGATTAATAAAGAAAAGAAAAATTTAGGAAACTTATCTTTGTTTCACTGCCACCTCCAGCCCCCACGCGCTTAGTTTTCGTTATAACTTACGTGTGGCATGCGTGTTGTATCCACGATGCGAGACTGAAACTTACGTGAGGCATGTGTGTTGTATCCACGATAGAAGACTCGAACGATGGTCGAGACTCACAAACTCCATTGCATACACAATTATCGTGCGTATTCGAAACTGTAAAAATTGAAACGACGAAAATATTGATATTCTAAGCTTCACTCCAGTGCCGATATTTAAACATACACACACACTAGTAAGGAAGATGAGTAGGAGGATTTAGAGAAGAAAGGAAAAATCAGTTCAAAATTTTTGTTGTAGAATTCATCAATTTACTGCTGTTCTTTCATAGTATGTGCCTCATAAATTCATTAACGTCACAAATGATAAACTAGTTTGCTGGTTTGCCACAGGAAGACCGCGTGTCAGGAAACCGCGCTATGTCTGATGATGGAAACGAAGCGCTGGTAACGGAGTGGCGGGGCTTGAAGATTATACATATAGAGCTGCGTTTGTGGCAAAAAAAT